AATATTTCATGCATTAAATTTTCTTACTGCGTCATTCAAATCTTTTTTCATAATTTTCCTGCCACCATTAATAAGACATTTTAAAGGCATTTTGGTCAGGACCTCAAGATTTGATCCGGGGTACATAAGAAAAATATCTGATAGGGCTGTGTGATCTGTGACATCCTCATCTAATTACATGTAATTACATACCAGGGATGTAGCAAAAAAGAAGTACTTGTGAGGCAATAGCCGTTAATAACTGGGATGTTATTTTTGGCATGTGCTACAGATGTCTTTCAGAGATGTAACTGGCACCATCCTGGCATGTGGTCATAGTGACCACCTATCAGATCGGGTACAGGAGGTCCCACTGGAACGTGCTCAGGATGCTATCAGGTGCCCAAAAATGTTGCATTCGGTAGTGATGGGGGACCTCCTGGCCGGGACCTCCCTGGTCACAACCGTATCCTACCCAGGACGTATTCGGGAGCATGCATTGTTGGCTGGGAAGTGGACTGGTTCCAAAATAGATTTAAGTCATTTAAGAGTGTTTGGGTGCATGGCACAGATTTTGATGCCAGGTGAGAGAAGGGACAAGTTGGATCCCAAGACCCAAACTGTTGTGTTTGTAGGGTACTGTCCCACAAGTAAAAATTATAAGTTTGTCGAGTTGTCTTGCCCTCGTAGAATTATTGTATCAACTAGTGTGTCTTTTTTTAAAAATAGGTTTAAGAAAGGAGGAGATGACTCTGAGTTTTGTGAACTAGGTGGTAATGATGGTGAAAATGTTGTTAATCCTGAGCCTGAGCCAATTGAAACAATTGTTACTGTTACACCTATTGTTAAAAGGCCTGAAGAAATAGTAGATGATGGTTATGTTCCATTGAATCGTCTAGATAATGAAAGTCTGGAAGGGGCAGAGGAGGAGGAGGTGACTCCTGATAGTGACTCTGAAGGGGAAGACAATGAAGAAGATATTGAGGTGAATGTAGGTGGGAGATATCCTGTAAGGTACAGAAAGCAAAAACAGTTTCCTGATTTTGTGTGTTTTTCTGTTTCGGTTGATGACCAGGAGCCTAACACTTTTAAGGCGGCTATGTCTAGTGCTAATAAAAATCTGTGGAAGAAAGCTGTAAAGGATGAGCTTGATGCTTTGGAGAGAAATCAAACTTGGGACTTGGTTGATTTGCCAGCTGGTAAAAATCTTGTTCAGAGTAAGTGGGTTTTTAAAATCAAAAGGGATGAAAATGGGCAGGCTGTAAAATTTAAAGCCAGATTAGTAGCAAAAGGGATTTACGCAGAGACATGGGATAGATTATAATGAAACGTTCTCTCCTGTCGTACCCTTTGAGTGCCTAAGGCTATTGTTTGCATTGTCAGTAAAGTTTGACTGGTCCATTCATCACTTGGATGTTACTTGTGCTTTTCTTGCCAGTTATCTAGATGAATAAATTTATATGGCTCAACCTGAGGGAAACAATAAGAAAAATGACGGGAAAGTCTGTAAGTTAAGGAAAGCCATTTATGGCTTGAAGCAGGCCTCCAGAGCCTGGAATGACAGGTGCAATGCTGTTCTGAGTAGGTTAGGGTTCTCTCCACTTGTTCTAGAACCTTGTGTATATGTGTATTTTTCAAATGGTGAATTTGCCATCATAGCCCTGTATGTCGATGACTTTCAATTGTTTGCAAGCTGTGACAAACTCAGAGACACTATCATCAAAGAAAGACTCGGAGAGTCCTTCGACATAAAGGACTTGGGTGAGGCAAAGAATGTGTTGGGCATGAGGATTCAGAGGGGAGCTGATGGCAGCCTCACTCTGGATCAGAGTGCTTATACTGAAAAGATTTTGAAAAAGTATAAGCTCTGGAGTGCCAACAGTTCAAGCACACCGATGGAGGAAGGTTTGGACCCCCAGAAGCCTGACAGCTGTGAGGAGGGGCTGGATTTTCAAGGTAATATTGGAAGTTTGATGTACCTAGCAGTCTGCACTCGTCCAGATATTTCCTTTTCTGTTACAAAGTTGAGTCAGTACAATACTGCTCACAATGAGGAAATATTTAAGTATGCTAAAAGAGTGCTAAGGTACCTCAAGGGAACGCAGTCTTTAGGTTTAAGGTATAGTGGTGATGATGAAACTTATTTGCATGGCTATGTTGATGCGAGCCATGGAAATAATTTTGATGGTAAGAGTATCTCTGGTTATGTGTTTATGTTCAGTAGTGGCCCTGTTGCATGGGGGTCGAGAAAGCAAAGATTGGTTGTAGACTCTACCACTGAGTCTGAGTTCATTGCTATGGTCTTGGGTTGCAAGGAGGCAATGTTCCTCAAGCAGTTGTTAGAGGAACTGGGAGATCTCCAACCCAAAATAGAGTTGTTTTGTGACAATATGTCTGCAATGAAATTAATTCAAAAGAAGTGCATTAATGACAGGACCAAGCACATTTCGAGGAAGAAACTGTTTGTGAGGCAGTTCATTCAGTATAGGCTGATCTCATTGCACTATGTTCAATCTAAAGGAATGAAGGCTGACATTTTAACAAACGCCTTGAGTGCAGAGAAGCATAAGTATTTGCGTCAGGAGATTGGTCTCGACGAAATCTAGTCATGAGGCCCGAGATTAAGAGGGAGTGTTGTAAATAATAGTTTAAGTTTGTAATCTCGCGCCATTCTGTGTATAGTCTAACACAGTCATTTGTTCATTCTGTTCTTCTCTGGTGTACTGTATGTACTGTTTCCGCTTTTGCCAATAAGCTACTTCCGTGTAAATTCTAACAGCCGTGAGTCGTGTTTTAGTCCAAACAAATAATGCTGAACAATCCTCAAATTAGAACAACACTATGTGTAAAATTCCACTTTAGCAACCATCTCCTTAATTTTAGATCAGATGGATTATTTTTCCATAAAACCCTTAAGTGTTTATAATTTGTCTAAAAATTTTGGTTTTCTGCCTGAGACTTTTTTCTTTAACTTTTGCTATCAGGAGCAGTGAAGTGTTTAAATGACTTAACTTCTTGTATTAAGTTTCAAATATTTTTTGACTTTTTTTAACTTTGGCTTATCCTAACTATGAAGTAAATACACTATGTCAAAAGTTTTACATTAGTAACCGTCTCCTTAATTTTAAATCAGATAGATTCTTTTTCCCATTAAAATACTACAATGTATAATTTGTCACAAAATTTTGGTTATTGCCTCATGCCTCTGCCTGAGACTCCTTTTTAATCTTCTGCTATCAGGAGCAGTGAAGTGTTTAAATGACTTAACTTCTTGTATTAAGTTACAAATACTTTTGGTCATCAACAAAATTTTTGTCTCTTATTGAATGCACGAGAAAAAAAAATAACAAGTAACACCCATCTTATCAGGTATTCATTAATTTTAAAACAACTAATCATTTGTTCTTTTCCTTGCAGGTTACACCAATAAGATGTTTCAGAGGAAAGCTACAACCTGCAATCTGACTGTCTACGGAAGAAAAGTTAATGAACACAGGAGGACTGTTACTCGTAAAGCCGCTGGTCTTG